CAGCTCTGACTAAAACAGTGTACAGCGATATAATCCCCACTGGTGCATATGTAGCTCATTAGGGATAAGTCTCACAGCATCCAGATGAATATCAAAAAGTAAAACATAAAAAGCAAACAATAGTGCTTATTGAGTAAAACCAAAAACAGGTAAAAATATAAATGGTAATTTACTCAGATTTAGTAGAGCAGTAACACCGTTTAAGAGATGGCGCTTGTTGAATTGAGTAGATTCGCCTGAAGGCAATCTTTGCCTGGGAGTTTTAAATGTGCCAGGAACAATAAAAAACAATTCAAATATTAAAAAGCATAAAAAGTATAATAAATGGTCTTATACTATAAAATAGGTGTAAGCCAAATTAACTTTAATGCTTAAAAACAATATTAAAACACACACAACATGTTTTGCCAAACAAGGGGCTTCTCAAGTGTACATCTTTGTATTCATGTCACTATAGTGTTTGTGGCAGCACTACTGCTTATTCGTGTGTTGTGTGTTTCCCCTTGAATTTCCTGTATTGTGCCCCGTTCCCCCGTTCGGGAGTGTTCCTACGAACGGAACCCATTTGTCTCCTGAATGGGGACCACCCCGGTGCCCCATTAGAATGTTTGCACCAATTACTTAGAACGTTCACACCAATAACCTAAGTGTGAAACCGCAAGGGAAGTAATTAATGAGTGCTTCCCTGGGTGGCTGCCATTTCGTATAGACGAACGCCAACCAGGGGGAGCATTTGTATCCCAAAAGGAGACACTTCCCTTGCATGGTGTTCGCCCAGGAACCTCATGAACGAAGACCGGTTCAGGAAATGTACTTTTGTGGGGGTTCCTGAGGTTGGTGGGGACACTTTTTGGGCACTGGCTATTTTGGCAGGCTTTCTGTGCCTGGGGGACAAAGAGACTAGGTCCTTTTTTCCGCACCTAAGCTCCCAGGCACAGAGAGTCCTGGGATGAAGACCCCTGTCATTTGGTGTGAAAGACCCCTTGCATGTGTGGCGGGCTTTCTGTACCTGGGAGACAAAAAGACTAGGTCCCTTTTCCCGCGCATTGGCTCCCAGGCATGGAGGATCCTGGGATGGAAAACCCTGGTCCGGGTCCGCTACAGTGTTCCTTTAAAGGACCACTCTAGGCACCCAGACCACTTCAGCTTAATGAAGTGGTCTGGGTGCCTGGTCCAGCTAGGGTTAACCCATTTTTTCATAAACATAGCAGTTTCAGAGAAACTGCTATGTTTATGAATGGGTTAAGCCTTCCCTTATTTCCTCTAGTGGCTGTCTCATTGACAGCCACTAGAGGCGCTTGCGTGCTTCTCACTGTGATTTTCACAGTGAGATCACGCCAGCGTCCATAGGAAAGCATTATGAATGCTTTCCTATGTGACCGGCTGAATGCGCGCGCAGCTCTTGCCGTGCATGCGCATTCAGCCGACGGGGAGGAGAAGAGGAGGATCGGAGGAGGAGAGCTCCCCGCCCAGCGCTGGAAAAAGGTAAGTTTTACCCCTTTCCCCTTTCCAGAGCCGGGCGGGAGGGGGTCCCTGAGGGTGGGGGCACCCTCAGGGCACTATAGTGCCAGGAAAACGAGTATGTTTTCCTGGCACTATAGTGGTCCTTTAAGGACAGCTTGGAATTTGTATATATAATTGTAGCGGATGGTACTGTGGCTGTCCTTAAAGACTATGAGAATCCTGCAATTCGTGTGTTGTTTCTGCTTTGTATTTAATTGTAAGTAGCATTCGTATGATTGTTCAGTAGTTTCCATCTGTATTTCATACGAATGGAAACTACCGAACGAATAGACCACCCGAGAGTGAAGTGTGTCCCTCGTTAAGCTGCAAAGTATTTGCTAACCGCAGACTAATAGGCGGTTTATGGATGTATCTGGGGGCCGCCATTCAGCATGCGAACACGTGGCGGCGGCCATCTTACGCACAAAAGGCTCAGCGGTGTTTGGTCGTCGAGTGTCTGGAACTCAAATCGGACACTCGATTACCCGAACACTGCTGACACCTCCAGAGCTCCATAACTCACGAATGGGGAGATCTTAGTGGAGTTAACCTGTGAAATACCAGGCCTCCGCTACAATAATATTCCACAATAGATTAAATATGTGTCAGGAAGCCTACCTGTAGCTACCTCTGTGCTACCGTGAAGCCTGTCCTCCTGGGAGGATTCCAGAGGGTTAATTGAGCTTGACTGCTTGTTTTGCTGAGCACCTGTGAGTAGCACGGATGCTGCCTTTCAGGTTAATCACTTCCAGGTAGCAAAAGAGATAGACCAGGGCTTGGGAGAGAGACACCTAGAGGGGCTGGGAGGACATAAAAAGACACAGAGAGGCTGGGGAAGAGGCAGAAGAGACAGATTGAGGGTTTATTTAAACCCATTAGATTTTAGTCGTTTTGACTAAAATCTTCAGTAGATTTAGTTGACTAAAATATACTGTATATTTAGTTGACTAAAATGTACTGGAGATTTAGTTGACTAAAACCAGACTAAAACTAAAAAATTCAGATGACTAAAATACGACTAAAACTACAATGGATTTTTAGTCAAAAGACTATGAATAAAACTAAATAGAAAATTAACACTGTTTCGTGGTTCCAGATTCCTTGGTGGGATTTTGTCCTGATCTTGATTCTCTGTTTTTATGACTTGGCCAACCTGAATAAGTCTATGCTCTCCTGCTCTCATGTATCGACCTTGGCCGTTTTATCTTCCGCCTGATTTCTATACCAGTCTCTGGCTTACTACCCGTCCCATGTACCAGTCCCTGGCTTGTGTGACTATATCTTCCATGTACCAGTTCCTGGCTTGTCTGACTACCCTTCCCGTGTACCAGCCCCTGGCTTGTCTGATTGCTTGTCTGATGTACCAGTCCCTGTGTCTGGTATTGTGTGTTTGTATTTTTGTATATTGTTCTTCTCCTGGTCTGAAGCCCTCTCTTTGTCTAGTTCTTCATGGTTCTAAGTTAATGCATGCCTAATGTCCGTTAATACGCCACTCCTTACCCCTTGTCTTTGCCCTTGTTAGGTCCCCTCCACTCGCCTTCTCTGGCCAACTCTGACAGTATATAAATCTGGTTCAATCACCAGAACATTTTGTTCACTTGGTTTAAAGCTCTGTCTTGCCATAAATCAATAGTATTCGCAAAAAAACAGGATACAATAAATGTAGCTGAACTGTGAAGATCCGAGAGGTTTTTTTTTACAGCGGTGGTCGCCATTTTGAACCCAAGAACAAAATGTTGAAACTCTTTGATAGTTATTTAAAGAAGCCAATAAGAATCTGGGATGCACACCCTACATACATATGCTACCTGATGTCATCATAGAAATTTCAAATAATAGTGACAATTAACCTAACTGAATCTAAGATTGTATAGATGTTCTCATATAAAAACGTTTAGTTAATGAGATACAATATATCAATGTATGTCAAACAGGCCAAATTAGATATACTCTTCAAACAACTTTGACCATAAGCACATTAAGATATATAAATTGCTGCGAAAATATTCACCATGTTTGATATCATGACATTTAATTCTAAAATGCCAAAAGTTCCAACATATTCCAGAGAGATGTAGATGGCACACATGCAATGCACGACTAATCTCATTGGCTGAGAGTGTCAGCTGACAATACCTTCAGACAATAATAATAACAAAGTATTTAACCAGGTTTACTTTGGGTTCCAAGTACGTCCTAGATTTAGAATAAAAGTTTCTAAATGAGCTGTAATCACAGCGTGGCTATTTTGGTCTGAATTCAGCTATTCAGATCTCAGTTCTTTACAATTTAAAGTTTAGTTAATACGCACTTTAAGTCTGTATGAAAAGAGGATTATTACGTATAAACTCTTTAGATCTCGACTGAATTTGAAAGTATAGTGACATCTTGGAAAACACGATAATGCATTTGTCGTATTGTAAAGTGCTGTGTCTTGTTCTTTTCAGAAAGATATTTGATCAAAACTTAAAAAAAAAAAAATTAAAATCTAAAAACATTTTAACATTTATAAATCTCTTTATCTAGGAATCTAGAAATTCAGATTTTCATTTACAAAAAATTCCAATAAGAATTTTGACAAATTTTGAAATTTGAAATAAAAAGTTTGGTTGAAAATGCTGATGGTATAAATTATCCACCATCTTTAGCATTAAATTACATGTCCCTATCCTTGTTTTCGCCTGGATTTCAAATGTATCTATAATCTTCATTATTGTTACCTAATATTTTATCCCCAAAAAAATAAAATAAAAAAACACTAAACTACAATATTATGGAGAGTAACTAATGTACAAAGTAAAAAAGTAAAGCATTATGCCATTCACCTCAATCTGGCATTTAAAGAGTCAAAGCTAGTTTTAGTAAAAAAAAATAAAAAATAATAAATACTGTTAGTTTTCCAGCGCTACGTCCACACTACTCCTGAACTTTGACCGCTACCTCGTAGCCTCACATAGAATAACAAAGTGGCTGTAATTCAATAGAATTTGAATTCTTGCAATTAAAGCCAAAATACATAAAATCCGAAAGCATATGTCAGATTACAAGGAACAAAAAGTTCTCAAACGTGAACTAAATTTTCTGAAATCCTGGAATAACGTTAGCGTCATAAATAAACTGTCAGCAGTTTCCATGTATCTGGCAAACTACCCCTAGGTTTCATTAAATAAAAAGCTACAACACAAACGTATAAGTAATAAAAACTGTAGCATGAAAATGAGAAAAGAAAAATAACGTATTAAGATACAAAAAAATACATTTGTGGTTAAAATGTAGGCTGGAGGGTTATAATGGCCATTTATCTCTCCAGTGTGAGAATTCTACGTCCCAGCCTCTCTTATCAGCCAGTGAGGATGAGTGCCCTCCTCTAAGTGGCAGGGAACCCCTAATAGACATTCTCAAATATGGTAAGTAGAGATGTCGCGAACCGTCCGCGAACTTCTCGCGAACGGTTCGCCACGGTTCGCCGGGAGCTGTTCGCGGCGAACTCCGGTCAGCTGACACGTCCCGGCCAATCTCCAGCAGACCCTCCCTCCCAGACCCTCCTACTTCCTGGACAGCATCCATGTTTCATCTAACCTGTTTCAACATGAATGCTGTCCAGGAAGTAGGAGGGTCTGGGAGGGAGGGTCTGCTGGAGATTGGCCGGGACGTGTCAGCTGACCGGAGTTCGCCACGAACAGCTCGTGGCGAACCACGGCGAACCGTTCGCGAGAAGTTCGCAACATCTCTAATGGTAAGTAGCTCTTTCAAATGGGGGTTACATTCCCAGTTGTGTCTATATATGGTGAGGTTGGTATAATTAGTTTGTGTTTATTCTCTCGTTATTAGACTATGCTAAGTAAGTTTGTGAAGAGTATAATAATGAAAAAAATGTCTATAATGAGAAACCTCACTCGCTCTGAAATCAGAATTTTGTATAGTTTAAAATATTTACGGTTGGAAATGCTATTCCTATGCATTTTACTTGGTGCAAAGTAAAAAATACATTTTATCTTATAGTTCTCAGTTGCTATTTTTTTTAATTGAAATATATAGTTATGGAATCCTAAATTTAACTATTTTAGTTTAGTGATTTATTTATTTATTATAACTTATGAGTACTGTTCTACATTTCCCATAAACACCTGCCCAGCCCAGAGAAGGATTACGATCCCAGCAGGTTTAGACAAGTTAATAGTTTGTGGTCCCTTCCTCATTCTTCACATAGGGATAGTTAATGGGGCCAAGTTTCCCAGGGCTCCTGTATAACACATGGGCCCGAGGCAGACACCTTGGATCGCCTTATGGTTAACTGTGCTCTGTCCCAGACCCTTTCAATCACAACACTGGATTTGACAACTTGTGATTTCATAGGGTTCACTGTACAGAACAATGAATAACAATGAACAGGACAGCACAGGGTTCCTATTTAGATATATTTGTGAATAAATAATAATTAATACCTCTCAATAAGTAGAGAGAATATTATACAGTGAAACAATATGCATTAATGGGGAAAGTATGGGAGGTGACATCCCGCTCACATGTGAGAATTGTCCAGACATATCACACAGAAGAAGGGCTGCCCATTCACACAGCGATGCCCAGACCCTTTCATTACTAATACCCTGTAAGGGGCCCGGAAGCAGAGAATAATCCACCCCAAAGTTCTGGATCTAGGACATCTGGCCAGTATTTACAACCTTCCCAGTCCTAGCCGATTATCCAGGACCAGCCTAACACAGAGCATTTAAAAAATCGTATTGAGTATGTAATCCCCCTAAAATTACCATTTACAGAATAATTGCAGACGACATCTTTTGCTGCCCCTTAAAATTTTAGAACTTTCCCTTTATTTCTCCAGACAGATCCTCTGTATAATAGAACGTTCACAATGTGGAGAAAATCCCTTTAACTTCAATCCAATTCTTCTGCTGCTCACTGTACTAAATAAAATCCCAAATCCAAAATGACTACCCTCATTTATAGAGAAGAGGCTCTACCCATGTCAATGTATTAATTGTGAACCCAGTTCTTCTCCTCCGATAATTGGTACATATACTTGTTTAGCATTCACAAAGGGTGCGTTTTATAAAAGACGAAATCTTGCCCTTTGGCATTGCTTAGCTAGGAAAGGTATCAGCCATCTGTTGAGTTCTCCTGGGAGCCTTTTCTATTAGCCGCCCCACCTCTCCCCCGTTTAGCAAGATACTATTATTTGTCCAACTGTCTGAATGCAAGTCTCACATACACAGTTACTGCAACAATGCTAATCTAACCCACTTATTCTTCTCCTGAGTCTGCTCTAATCATCTTGGGATATAAAGTTTCCTCCACAATGTTCTGACAATGCAATTCTGTCCGCAGCAATGGGCTTTAATGCAGCAGATAGTTACAGCCAGTCTCAGATCACACAGAGGGGAATAGCCAAACTCAAAGGACAGGGTGGAAAAAAAGGAAAATTAAACTATTATTTAAGAAGTAGCAAAATGCTGAGCACAGTTATGGGGGAAAGTGATCGCTTTTCTGCAACATTAAAACAATGTATATTTTATATTTTCCAAGCTATTAACAGGTTCATTTAATAAAAGGTAAAATGAATTTAAACATCTAACCTGTTTTTATTGCTTATAAGATGTCACGCTAGAATATCACGCAAGAGGCACACGTTGCTATTTATAACGTGCATCTATAGAATGTTGGAGTATATTAAATCATGAATTATTGTATCTAGGTTATACCCCTGTACATACAGCGTAAGCATTGAATTGCTTGAGAGATTCTCTTTATTTCTAACATTTTAAACACCTGCAGAGCCACTATTGTATTTTAAGAGTGACTGTCTGCAGACCAGGATGACCAATTTGGCTGCATAGGAGGGTGCCTAGGCCCTGGGTCCCTGTCTGAGTCTGGCTGTGAGGGGGCCCTCCTTGAATCATCATTAGATCTCGCTGCTTCCCCCTGTACCCCCTCATTACCTTGACGGAGCTTCATGGTCTCAGTAATTAAAAGAGCGGTGCAAGAGAGATTTTCAAGTACTCTGCACTCAATACTGGTGCAAACTACTAGCTCCCTCACAGGAACACCAGGGATCCTGCTCTCAAGCCTACCTCAACTAGACTACCATATATGCAGAAAATGATTAATTACACCCCCTCCTTCCAAAAGACTTGGTGGCAAATTAAAAAAAAAAATTCCCACACAATAAAACACTCAGCCACATTCAGACCCCCTACACACAAAACACTCAGCCACATTCAGACCCTCTACACACACAACACTCAGCCAAATTCAGACCCCCTACACACACACAACACTCAGCCACATTCAGACCCCCTACACACACAACGCTCAGCCACATTCAGACCCCCTACACACACACAACACTCAGCCACATTCCCCTACACACACACTCAGCCACATTCAGCCACATTCAGACCCCCTACACACACAACACTCAGCCACATTCAGACCCCCTACACACACAACACTCAGCCATATTCAGACCCCCTACACACACAACACTCAGCCACATTCAGACCCCCTACACAGACAACACTCAGCCACATTCAGACCCCCTACACACAACACCAGCCACATTTAGACCCCCTACACACAAAACACTCAGCCATTCAGACCCCTACACACAACACTCAGCCAACCCCCTACACACACAACACTCAGCCACATTCAGACCCCCTACACACACAACACTCAGCCACATTCAGACCCCCTACACACACAACACTCAGCCACATTCAGACCCCTACACACACAACACAGCCACATTCAGACCCCTACACACAACACTCTCAGCCCCATTTAGACCCCTACACACAAAACACTCAGCCACATTCAGACCCCTACACACACAACACTCAGCCACATTTAGACCCCCTACACACAACACTCAGCCACATTCAGACCCCCTACACACACAACACTCAGCCACATTTAGACCCCCTACACACAAAACACTCAGCCACATTCAGACCCCCTACACACAAAACACTCAGCCACATTCAGACCCCTACACACACAACACTCAGCCATATTCAGACCCCCTACACACACATACACAACACTCAACACACAACACTCAACATTCAGACCCCCTACACACACAACACTCAGCCACATTCGGACCCCCTACACACACAACACTCAGCCACATTCAGACCCTCTACACACACAACACTCGGACTCCTCAACACACAGAATTCATCCATCACACACAACACTCAACCAGCACACAGGCGCACACAGGCGCACACAGGCACACAGCCCCCTCTACACACACAACACTTAGCTACTGCACACACTCTCACCGACGCAACCCTCACTGATTACAAACAATTTATGACTAAACTAAATTCTAAAGATATTTACTGCAGTTTAATAGTAATAATGGTCAGTAATATTGATGTGATGCTCTGTAATGCGCCAAAGACTTTGAGAAAAGTAATCGAAATATTTTGGTCAGAGAGTGAGAATATTTTGGTCAGAGAGTGAGAATATTTTGGTCAGAGACTGTGATTTTAGTGTTTTGCAATATAGAGAACGCTATCAGGGACTACCTAATGCTTCCCCAGAGGAGTAAAGATTGATTGATGGCCATTTCTTTCATACGGCAAACACATAAACCAACGTTTCTGCATAAGCATCTGCATCATACAGTATCACTGTATCTGTGAATTCATACTAATCCACAAAGTCTGCATCCCTCATATGTAAATGAACTTCCTGATATGTAAGCATGTAACCATAAGGGGGAACCGAGTCCGAGGCCGAAGTGGGACTATTAGCCATCAATAAATTGATATAACAATTAAAGATTAAAATAACACATTTTATTTTATAAGTCAGTAGACCTAAAGGGACAGTCCAGGCTTGAAACGATTCAGTATACTGAAAAATATGCATAAATGCATGATCTTCACTCTTGAAGATGTTTAATTTGCCCAAGCAAACTGCAGCAGCTGTGATGCCCTCCTGTGAAACCCCACCAAGCAGATAACTTAGATTATACTACTGGTTTTGTGAATGGAGCTGGCCATGCATGGCTCTGTCTCAGAGATAGGAAGGGAAGGACTTGCATGCTATACACACATTCCTTGGACAGTAAAAGGAGAAGGCTTAGCTATATATTTACTTAGCTCCTCCATTTATGAACTCCTGCGGACATGGACATGGGTTCATAAGACTTCCTTGTACCATAATCTTTTTAAGAAGCACAGGTTGTTATGGTAGTTAGAATGCATCCCTTGAATAAATGTAGGCAGTAATGTTCACAGATATGTAGCCATCTTCATCATTTGTTCTGTGATTTGAATGGTGATTCTTCCATTTAATTTTACTGGAGCCCATGGGTGGCAGTTGATTGGAGATAAACAGGAGATTGCGGAATGCAGCCCCAGGTAAAATGAGACTGGCCAAGCCCATGAGGTGTATGACTTTGCCACTAAGCCCAGCCGATACAGAGTTGGTAGTTAAATGCCAGGTCCAATCATGCCCAAATGCCGCTCAACACACATCCATGCGACATATAGTCCTTAACTTTCCATGAAAACATCTCTAAAACAATTGCACAGGTTTACAAACAAAAATCAGTCATCCAACACAAGCGGATCTGACAGAAAAACTGATACATTGAAAGAAGAAAAAAGTTGGCTAAATTG